TTTCTGTTGTGAACCACCCTTGGATCTTTGGATGAAGGGCAGCATACAACTTTAATTAATAATAATAATAATAATAGCAGAGGACCTCCATCGCTGACTGGCAGCTGGCTTTTGATGCGAGCTTTCACTGGGCCATAAGGGATGGGGGGGCATGGCTCTCAGGAGAGGAAGGTCCAGCCTTTTGTAGAAGAAATATTGATTATAGCTGTTGTCAAGCTCAGGTCCAATCACCAGCGCCTCCAATTAAAAGACTACCAGGAGATGGGAAAGGCCAGGTGGTTGGCAAAGAGAGCCACTGCCCGCCAGAGCAGGCAATATTGGGCTTGATGGACCAAAGGTCTGACTCAAAACAAGGCAGGTCCATGCACCTAGGTTCCCAGGTGCTGTGTGTATAAAGCCTTGTAGAAAGCAGCAACTTTTGCATCACCCCTTTCGCACAGCATCTTCAGGTGCCAAGCACCTGAGGCAAATTCCAGGTTCCGCTGATTTTCAATATACAGTGGTACCCCGCAAGACGAACGCCTCGCAAGACGGAAAACCCGCTAGACGAAAGGTTTTTCCGTTTTGGAGACGCTTCGCAAAACGAATTTCCCTATGGGCTTCCTTCGCAAAACGAAAGCCCATAGGGAAATCTCCGGGACAGGGCGTCTTGCCCACTGTCCTCGGACCTCCTCCCGCCGCCAGGCTTCGGAAGGCTGCTCTGAAGCCTGGCGGGGGGCGGAGAGGTTTTTTAAAAACCCCGGGACAGCGGAGGACTTCTCCGCTGTCCGGGGCGATTTTAAAGTGCTGCCGGGCGGCAGCGCTGCCGCCCAGCAGCATTTAAAAAAACCCCGGGACAGCGGGGGACTTCTCCTTTGTCCCGAGGTTTTTTAAAATGCTGGCGGGCGGCAGCGAAGGCTTCGCTGCCACCCGCCAGCATTTTAAATTCGCCCCGGACAGCGGAGAAGTCCCCCGCTGTCCCGAGGTTTTTTAAAATGCTGGCGTCTTCCCCTTTCTCCCCGGACCTCTTTTGAAGCAAGGGGCGGCAACGCGGAGAAGCGATCTTCTCCCCGTTGCCGCCCCTTGCTTCAAAAGAGGGGACAGAGGGAAAGGCGCGCGCCTTCCTCTCTCTCTCCCCGGACCCCTCTTGAAGCAAGGGGCGGCAAAGGAGAGAAGCGATCTTCTCCCCGTTGCCGCCCCTTGCTTCAAAAGAGGGGACAGAGGGAAAGGCGCGCGCCTTCCCCTCTCTCCCCGGACCCCTTTTGAAGCAAGGGGCGGCAACGGGGAGAAGCGATCTTCTCCCCGTTGCCGCCCCTTGCTTCAAAAGAGGCGACAGAGGGAAAGGCGCGCGCCTTCCTCTCTCTCCCCCCGGACCCCTTTTGAAGCAAGGGGCGGCAAAGAGGAGAAGCGATCTTCTCCCCGTTGCCACCCCTTGCTTCAAAAGAGGGGAAGGCTGGCGGGGGGCGAAAATCTTTGTCCCCCCTGCCTGCCTGCCTGCCTGCCTGCCTTTAAAAGCCCTCCCGGGGGAGCGGAGAAACGCGCTGCGTTTCTCCGTTCTCCCGGGAGGGCTTTTAAAGGCAGGCAGGCAGGGGGGGACAAAGATTTTCGCCCCCCGCCAGCCTTCAGAAGAGGTCCTGGACCTCTTCTGAAGGCTGGCGGGGGGCGAAAATCTTTGTCCCCCTGGCTGCCTTCCCGGGAGGGCTTTTAAATCGCCCCGGACAGCGGAGAAGTCCTCCGCTGTCCGGGGCGATTTTAAAATGCTGCCGTGGGGGGGGGGAGCAAAGACTCCCCCCCCCAGCCTTCAGAAGAGGTCGGGGGACAGATTGTCCCCGGACCTGGTCTGAAGTCGGTTTCCATAGGAACGCATTAATTGATTTTCAATGCATTCCTATGGGAAACCGTGCATCGCAAGACGAGAAACTCGCAAGAAGAAAAAACTTGCGGAACGAATTAATTTCGTCTTGCGAGGCACCACTGTATTCATCAATAACCTCAAGGGGAACAAAGGGGAGAATCAAGAGTCCCCAGTTATCTTGGGGCTCTTTGCAACTCGCTTTGCTGTTGGGTTTCAGCTCCAAAGAAGCTTCCCATCACCTGAAGAATGCCCAGTTGTGCAAATAAGCCGTTAAAACATTGCTACATGGCATGAAGAACAGCAACAGAACTCCTATGATTTTGTGTTGAAGTCTGCATTCCAAACACTCTGCATTTCTTTTTTTAAAAAAGGTTACAGCCTTAATCTCAAAGGCAGAGCTCATTAAGATGATCTCAACACCTTCAAAATACACCCCATATTGGCTAAAAGGGAGCTCATACAGCACCTTGAAATCAGAGTCTTTTTTGTCCCCCACCCTCCAATATTCATCATGAAAGAGGGGAAGGGGCTTCCTGAAATCAACAGAAGTCCCTGGCAGCACCTTCAAAGTTAACAGGTGTATGGAAAGGCTACTGACACAGGTAGGTAGGTAGGTACACATACGTTGCATGCAGAAGGAAAGCGGGAGTTACCGTATCTTTCACTCTATAAGACGCACCAGACCATAAGATGCACTTAGTTTTTGGAGGAGGAAAACAAGAAAAAAAATATTCTGAATCCCAGAAGCCAGAACAGCAAGAGGGATCGCTGCGCAGCGAAAGCTTCTGGGATAGCTGCGCAGCCTGCATTCGCTCCATAAGACGCACACACATTTCCCCTTATTGTTTAGGAGAGAAAAAGTGAGTCTTATAGAGCAAAAAATACGGTAATCACTATTTTAAAGTGAAGCCAAAAGGCCGACACTGTGCTGGCTACAGCCCCCTGCTGTATCCTTTTTCAGAGGATAGATGTGTACCAGACAACCCCATCCATCCCTTGTTTTGCCTTGACTCTCTCTGAAGAAAAATTATATATTTCTTCCCTCTGCATCCGTCTCTTCAAACATCAGGTTTGTGGCTTCTGCCAAAACTAAACTGCCAAACATTTTACGATACAAGGCTGTGACCCGATTTGCAAGGTGCAGTGCGTCGTACAGAAAGCCTTCCCAACTTGCTGCCCTCCAGTTTTTCGGACCACAACTCGCACCAGTGAAAACATCGCTTGGCCATGCTGGCTCGGCAGTTGGTGGGAGCTGTGGTCTGAAACATCTTCAAACTACCTGGCTGCTGTTAGCTGGCTTAGGAAGACAGTGCGGGTCTCTCTGTCCTGGACAGAAGCCAGTGGCCACTTTCCTCCTCCCCAGTCCATTTCGCTGCAGACCTACTGCTCTTGGCTAGAGGTCATGGTTAGCAAGAAGAGGGCTGAACCCCAAGGCCCTGTGTGGGCGACATGCTCAGCCAAACCCTGGCTTGGCTCAGCGTGGCAGCACAAAGGACAGGGAAGGGCAAAGCGGGTGCAAGCTCCTCTCCGGGAAGTTTGGGCTGTGTGTCCTGTGAACTTGCTCGTTCGGTTGTGTTTGCTGCAGGCTAAAATGGCTCCTCCTAAGCTCTTTAGGAAGCTAAAGAATGCATATATAACACTGTCCAAACTCCTTCAACCCCCAGCTACACAGATGATATAGAGCTAGGATTAAAAAACCCCGCACAGATTGGAGGAAGGAAGAGGGGTCCGTTTCCCGGTCATTGTTGCAATTTCTCATTGCCGCTAAAAGGGATGGGCCAGGCGACCAGCAAGTTTAGCAAAAAAAAAAAAAAAAAAAAAAAAAAGAGCACCTGCTTCTCCTTTTGGGTAACGGGTGTCTGGGGAGTAGGAAGAGACCTGCAGCGTCCCTCAGATGCTCTGCTGGGGAGGGTTTCTCCGCCTGGGCTCATCTCCTCCCTTTTTGCTCTCTCTGCAAAACCCAGCCTAGGAGAGGAATGTGCGAGATCCACAGCCACATTCTACAACAGCCTTCGTTGGTAAATTGTCATGAATGCAAAAAAATAAAAAATCTCAGAAGAGCACTGGGAGAGAGAGGGAGAGAAATGGAATGAGTTCAGGTGGCTTCTAAAAGAACATAGAGTCACTTCAACTAGCTCTGTATTGTCTACACCAGTGGTTCTCCCCCCTCCCCCCCGCTCCCTTGAAAATTGCAGAACATCTTGACATGATTTTTCTGCCTGTTGTAGCAATCATAATGCCCTGTGCTAAATGCTGTAAGAGTTTTACTTGCAGTTTTATTGCCTCTTTCCCTGCCCTTATATATTGTATTTAATGGTATTGCGATTTGATTCCAAAGAGTGCAAATTGTAATACAAGAAAATGCACTATATAAGAAATAAAAGCAGCCATAAAAATACATATTCAATGTGACACCTCCTGTCTTTAGTCACAAAGCCACAGTCATGCTGCAGAACCACCTGAACAGAGTCTGCGAACCCCTGATCTACGCTGCCCAGGAGAGGATCTCTGGGGTTTTAAGCAGCAACGCCTGGAGGTGTCAGGGATTGAAGCTGCAGCCTTCTGCATGCAAGGCAAGTGTTCTTCCACAGAGCTAAGGCCCCTCCCCTACTTCAGTACATAAAAAACTGATGCTGGCACCTACTGATTTCAAGTATTTTCCCAGCCCTGTATAGGGAAGTTTACTAGCTGTGAAGATGCACATAATGTAATACAGGGCGTCTCCTTTTTAGTACAGGTGGGGACCTTTTATCTAAATCCGACTCTTGCATTTTCCAATATCTCTCTCATCGCGATGAGGGCAATTTTGTTTGTGAAAAAAATATGGTTAACAGTGAGGGCTAGAGACTTTAAAAATAAAAAGAATATGTAAGCGAGTCAACACAGCCAAGGGTCAGGAATGATGGGAGCTGTAGTTTAGCAACACCTGGAGGGCTTCTGGTTCCTCGCCCCTTTTCTAGACCCAACGCCGTCACACAAAGAACACAGTACTTTGATAACACACACACACATCCTGAAATAACACATCCTGCATTCCAGGCTCCCATCACAAGCACGGAAGAGGTTTGCCCAGAGAACAACTCTGAGCCCAGCAGTGTTTTGACACTCCAAAAACGAAGCAATGAGGATTGCCCCTTAGGAATAAAATAAAAATAGAACACAAAAATACATTTCAAAGCCTTCTTGATAAACACTTCTATACAGAGAGACTTCAATGTGCCAGAAGTAAACGCACATCAGTTCCAAAAGATTAATGTTCCTAAAGAACCTGAAAATATTTTCCAAGACACCACAGAAGAGGTTGCATAAGGAAGAAAAGAAAAAAAACAGCTAGTAGATTTCAGATTCCACCCACGGTCCTTACTGCAGGGAAGGGGTACATGTGGCCCTCCAGATGCGGATGCACTCCAACTCCTGCCAGCCCCAGCCAGAATGCCCAATGGACAGGGCAGCTGTAACCAAGCAGCATCTAGAGGGCCAGATTCCCTTCGCCAAATTACAGATTAGAATCTGATTCGCTCGTTATTATTTTTATTTTAAAGAGTGGCATATAAATGATATATAAATTAGGTACTCTCATTTCGGAACCATTTGTTGATCCAAACATTTCCCCAAGATATTAAAAAAATTAATATATATTCACTTCTGGAGCCAAGTGAATGGTCTAGAAACATCTGTAGTTACTTCCTCCCTCAACCTGATGCCTTCTAGATACTACAGTTCCCATTATCCCCGACTGTAGTCCAACGGTCTCTGGAGGGCAGCTTCATTCCAGCGTTCACTTCAGTAGTAAAAGTGCTTCACTTCTGCAAGTTAACCTGCTGCGGGAATAAACTGCCAAAGCAGGAGCCACCCTGTATCCTCAGGTGCCGAGGGGAAATGCCAGGCACTTCGGAAGAGGAGAAAAAAAAAGAGACCCAAAAAGAAAAGTGGAACTCCCCGATTTCTTCAGACTGGATGACAGCAACGCTGACGAGCTGGTCCAGACCCACTTAGAACTGTCTTTCAAGCATCCCAGGCAGAAATAAACAGCAGTTAATTAGTCCCAGATAGTCCAGCAGCAATTTTAACACCACACTTCCACTTCAAAGTGCAAACCCTGTTAAGTCCAGCAGTAAATTGGGGGGGGGGGAGAGAGAGAGAGAGAGAGAGAGAGAGAGAGAGAGAGAGAGAGGACAAAGCACATCCACTGTCTTCCTTCCCTCTTGCCCTCAAAGGGCACAGCACACACCAAAGCAAACAGCAGGTTTGCATCTGAGGAAGGCCGACTGCAGTTCCTGGAAGCTTCTGTCATAATAAATGTGTTGGTTGCTTTAGGCAGCTACAACACCGTTTGTTGCTTTGCTGCCAATCCATGAACATGGGTCCCTCTGGAAAAAAGGTTTTAAGGAATTGCTTTAGGCAGAATCTGACAAGGGATCCATCCTGTACAGGCAGCCTCCACCCTCACCCAGATGTCAGTCCAACCGCATCTGGAAGGCACCAGATGTTAGCGAAGGTTGCTGTGGGTCATCAGGGGGTTAAGCCAAACCTTTGGGAACAACCCACAATACCTACCGTAACCAAGTATGTGCAACAGAAACAATCACATATTCATATTTTCTTCCTGTTTACCATGGCCTCCTTTATGTCTTCCTTGCTGTTTCCCCATGCCTGTTTTGGGCTGAATAGCCCCGTGGCAAAGGGGCCTGCCCACCCAGGGCTCTCTAAAGCACCATGTATATAGGTCCAAAGGAAGGACCTTAGCTCAGTGGCAGAGCATCAATCCCCGCCATCTGGGACTGGCACAGACTTCTGTTTGAAACCCTGGGACTCTGGAGAGCTGCCGCCAGGAAGTGGGGGCCACACTGGGCTAAACTGAAAACTACTCTGGCCAGTGACAAGGCAGTTTCCTGCATTTACTTCTTTGCTTTAAATTAAACACTGCATTTCAAATCCCCAAAATGACTCACAACAACAGTGTTCAATTCTGGGTTATAGTGTTCCCAGGGAAGCCATGCTGGGAACTGAACCTGGCCCTCAGGAACAGGCAGAAGAACGCTCGTAAGCCAAACACACTTTCTCCCAAAGTAAAACAAGGGCCTTGGGTCTACGGGTGGGAAGCACAGGACCAAGGGTCTGCACACACTACAGAAACAGAACCAGTTTGCCAAGGCTATTTTAACCAAGGCAGTGAAAATGGTTGATATTTGCAGCGCAGCTGCCGTGGTGGTGAAGTGATGCCATTAGTAGCTGCCACTGCAAGAGTCCTGTATAAAAGTTCTAGCATAACAAAACCTCCAAGCAACAAGACTCAAAAGGAATTTGGAGCACTTCCAAAATGCAAATGCATTAATGAAGGGAACAATTAACTTCTGCCCCAGGGACAGCGCTCTTGCTGCCATGGTATTCTCCATTCTAACCTGGGGTTGGGGGTGGGGTCAGGATCACTCTTACTTTCCCCAATAACCCAGGGGTGGGGTGGGAGCCTGGGGGCCTCCTGATGATGTCACTGGACTCCCACTCCCATCATCCTTCCTGACCATTGGGCCGTGCTGGCTGAGGCTGATGGGAGCTGGAACCCAGTAAAGAGCCAGAGGGCCAGGTCTCTCCATCCCTGTTCTACAATCTTCTATGCTTGTGTGCAAGTAAGCTCATTATGTTCAAAGAGGCTCACTCAAAGGTAAGTACGGTTAGGATGTGCTGGCCTGGAATATAAATGAGCTGGATATATTTAAAACAAACAAAAGCCAAAATGTGTTCAAAGATGACCCATGTTTTTCAGGAAAGAACGCCAATTACTGTATAAATCCTGCTAACTTAAAGCCAATGTGCTCAGTTTCTCCTATTCAATTCTGCTTCAACTCAAGTGAACTGAAGAGTTAAATAGGGTGCTCATCCTGCAGCCTAGAAATCTCTCTCTCTCTCTCTCAAAAGTCATGGTACTTGGAAACTGAATTTTCTGGCTAAGAGCTTCTCTGTCCTCCAGGGAGATGTTGCCTACACAGCTCTGTGTCCACTTCTTACTTGTCTCCCGGGGTTTTAAGAAACCCAGGATCACGCCAAAAACAAAAGATTGCTCCTCGATTCTCTCAAGCAGGTTTGAATTCAGGTTGTCGCAACATGAATCTGACAAGCAAACAATCCCCCCCTCAAATGCTAGTTACTAAACATGTCAAAGTAAAATGCTGCACTTCCTTACAAACTTCTTAACTTCCTCCCTTCTCCCCACAGGCCCACCCCCCAACCTGACAGCACAGAATGTCCATTTCCCCTCATGATGAATCAGCGTCAAAAGACAAGGATCTGGACCACAGGACAGGAGGTGGCAGGAGGAGAGATTCCGAAGTCCTCTCTCCAGCACCTGAACCTCCGGGTGCCAGTCCTTCAAAACACTGCAAGAACAGCCCATTGAATCATTACTGTTATTTTTTTAAAAGCACTAGAGAGCTAGGATGCGGTACTACTAATCTGTCTTTCCAGGCCAGCCAAATTCACGAAGAAGGGAGTCCAGAGAGCACAGTAGAAACATTTGGGCTGGCTTTAAAAAACAAAACAACAAAAAACAATTTTCATAGTTTGAGTATCTATGCAAAATGGCTGCCCGGAGGCGGGAGGGTGTCGCCTCTGTGGTCCAGCTGATCCTGGAGCCGCGCGAACTCGGCCAGTTCGTTCAGTTCCTGGAACTGGCGGTCTGTCTTGTGAGTTACCAACGACCGGTAGAAGTGGACCGCAAACACTATGAAAATCAGCCCGAAGGGAACCATGATGGAGGTCGAGGTGATGGCAGCAGCCTCGCCGGCAGAGAAACCCTCAGTGACGTTGCTGGGCTTCCCGCCTTCGAGGGGGCTCTTCTTCTTCAACGGGTGGAACTTCACCCAGCAGAGGAGGACCACTTCGGCCAGGAAGAGCAGAGTCCCAATGACGGTGGAGAAAGCCCAGGCTAGCTCGATGTGGCGGTGCATGCGCTCGTGGGGGGACTCCTTGACCGAGTTGAGGTTGTGGACGTTGCTGACGGCCTCGATGTTTGGGAGGATGCAGGTGCTGACCATCAGGGCGAAGAGGTGGACGGCCACCAGCACCGTCGTGCAGGCACTGAAGGCGATCAGGAGCCCCGGTGGGTAGTCGTGGTCAGCATCTAGCTGGACTTCCACCATGGCCACCTGGGAGGCAGGGGAGAGAAAGGGCAGCAAGAGGTCACAGTTCAGCCCTTGGACCTAAGCCAGGGGTTCTCAAACTTGTTTCAGAATAACAATTTGCTTGCACCGCACTGAATTGTTTTATTGCTAAGGAAGGCATGGGAAACAGAAAGATGCAACTCCTGGCTGTGCTTGCTTTATAAGCCGCTCTGAGCCCGGCCTTGGCTGGGGAGGGCGGGGTATAAATAAAAATTATTATTTATTATTATTATTATTATTATTATTACTACAAGGAACACAACAACTTTATAATATGGTCATGAGACATCCAGAAAGGATAGAAGAACATGAATCATTTCCAAAATCCCTGTTCACAACAATATTTCATGGAGATAGCTGATGATTAAGGATAAATAAGGTTTTTTTTAAAAAAAAGAAAAGATGGTAATATAATGGAATGTGTACTAGAAACAACTAGGAGAATAAAGCAGCAACAAGAGGAAACCTTGGATGCACCAAGAACAGAGTGTGGGAGACCAATTTTTGGAAAAATTGTATTAAATTCGTAAAATTCGGAAAAATAAATAAAAAGAATTTGGAAACTGGTTGGCCGCCTACTCTGCAACCCCCACCACGCTGCCCCAGCCATGCTGCGAATAAGAGGCGCTGCTGGTCTCCTCCCACCCGTGTTCATGGTGTACATCTTTATTCCTCCCTTGTTCCTGATGTACATCTTCCCTCACCTCTTCTTCCTGGGGAGGAAGGCATTTGGTGGTTTGCCTCAGGCGCCAGCATGTCTTGGGCCGGCCCTACCTTTATCCAGCAGGCCAGCTTCCACGCATGCCTCTGTCTATTCGGGCAAGCGAGAGGAATTGCCAGAGCTTGAAGACACACTCCAGCCTGGGAAAAGCACTCCAGGAAGGTCCAGTGCAGAGCTAGCAGAGGGCGTGGCCTGCAGGGAGCCTGGAGGGCCAAGAAAAGGAGCCTCAAGGGCCAAATCCAGGCCAGAGCATGAAACCTGGACTGTGCCTGAGCCTGGCATGGAGGCATGCCATGTTCCAACCTCGCTAAACCCAAAGAGGCTGCAGTTTGGCCAGTGGCGGGAGAGAAGAGTGCTGGGACTCCCCCCCCCCCTTGAGTTGAGATGACAGAAAAAAGGATATTTACATAGCTGAAAGAGGCTCTCACAGGTGTCTTGCATTGCGCCTCAGAAGATACCACACCCAACCATCTTCCACGCCATGTGCTTTCTCTCGTGCCCAACCGCATTTGCCAGCCTGGACTACAACTCCCACCAGCCAGCACAGCTGCAGTCCCAAAACATCTGGAGGGCACCAGGTTGGCAAAGGCTGCTTTCTGCAAAGGAAGCCACACATCAAGCAAACTTAAGGAATACTTTCCCATTACCCATTAACACAACCCCTGTCTGCTTTGAAAGCTCCACAGTGAAGGGCTAAGAATTGTCTCTTTCGCCAGAGCTGGCACAGAAGCTGGGTTTATCAAAGGAAGTGCCCCTCCCAGTGAAGAGGGAATATTTGGCATTCCACAAGGGCCCCTCCTGCCCTTCCAGCAAGGCAGGGAGGTCCTGGTGGAGGGTGGAACAGGAGGGGGCAAGGTTTGCTTTGTAAGTTTCTAGCACGGCATCTCCTGGACTTCCAAACAGCCTGGAAACCTCAAGTAAATGCCCGGAGATCGCTCACTTATGGAATACCACTGCGGGAAGTGTAAGAAGGTGGCAAAACAAACAGGGAGCCTTCTTGGAACTATGGAACTCCCTGCCCAGGGAAGTTTGCTTGCCATCCTCCCAACTGGCTTTCAAGCAGCAAGTGGAAACCTTTTTCATCCAAGGCGTTTCCCAACATAATTACGTTCTTGAGTTAAGCTGTAATCAGTTGCCCTTTTAAAAAATTTGCCTTTAAAACTTACACTTCCTATTTGTTTGTTTGATTTATATACCACCCTTCATCAAAAGATTTCAGGGTGATTCAAAATGGCACCCAGTTTTACCCAAACATCTTCCAAAATCTGCTCTTTGATTTCAGGAACTATCATGCGAAAACTTTTATACATACATATAAATGATCTTTATTAAGTTTTTATTTGCAAAATACCACAAGAGCACCAGCCAGGCTCAACGTATTTCAAAACTAAGTGCCCCCCCCCGATCCTGAATCAAAGTCAATTCTCTTTTCCATGCAAACCAGAAAGTGACTTCTCCACACAACAGAACACCTCTTTCCGCCCCCCTTATCTCTGTGGTTACAATCTCCTGGGGGACATGGACACCATTAGACAGTTGAATGCGCATGCGTACTCTGTCTGTTTCCCTCCCTCCCACCTCCACGCGGCCCCGGGTGCTGGCAACTCACGCTACGCCACTGCCCTATTGACAGAAATGGGCCATGTTCCCTTTGCTTGCACAATACCTTCATTTTGTATGCGAGCTTCTCCAAATGTGCTTTGTATGCCAAACTACCCATTCGGACCCTTTGCCCTCAGTCCCCTCACTATGTAACCAGCATCTCAAATGTGAAATGGAGGAAAGCCTTTACAGCTCTGTGGTTCCACGCTATTGCCAGATGCCCTATGAAGAGAGAGTTTGCCCACGTGGGGTAATGTGCCTGAAGATTTACCCCACTATTTACTGGTTTGTCCAATCTATGAGCAGTCTTGTTTAAAGATTTACATCTCTCAGTTGAGACAGATTGGATATTTGATTTAACTTTTTATTAGGGGACAGGTCGCCCTATACCTCTGAAAAAGTGGTCTGTTTTGCTTCTAGAGTGGCAGTTTGGAAGGAGAAAACTTGTGGGGATGACAAGTTAAATTCTTCAGGGGAGCAAACTTATCTGGCAGAATGTCTGGTTTGAATAATTATTTTAACTGTGTCATATATTCTATTCCAGTTTTTATTCTGTTTTATGTATTTTGTAATAGCCAAGGCTAGACAAACAAACAATTTCTGTAGATCTGCTGATACCAATACTTCAGATTCTGGTTTTAAACTTTCTCCAAAAATGTGCAATGGTGGCCCTTGCAGCCAAAAGGAAATGCAAAATCTGCTCATGGTGTTTAGGTTCTCTATTCCAGCCTTTGAACAGACGCAGAAGGGCCAATTCTGCAGACAGGATAACCACTTGTGAAGTTGTTGTAGATAACTCCTCAAAAAATTTCCTCCAATATTTTTGGATTTCTGCCTGGGAAAAGCTTTGGAAAACAGAAATGAAATTTCCAGCAAGTTATGCCTTAAAAGAAAACTATTGCAAGGTGATATCTAGATGGTATTTAACCGCAAAGAAGCTAGCCCAAATGTACAAAAATGGATCAAACAGGTGTTGGAAATGTAAGGACTGTGAGGGGTCATTCTATGATATGAGGTGGACCTCCAGGAAAGCAAAGGCCTTTTGGGACATGATATATAATGAAATAATATTTTTTTTAAAAGTGAGGCCAGAATCCTCCTTTCTGGGGATGCTAGACAGTGAAATCCCAAAGAAAGCCTCAACGATATTTATGTATGTGCCTACAGTGGCAAGGATTCACTATGAACAGAACTGGAAGGAGAGAACACCTCCAAAGGAAGAATGGCTGGTGAAAATCTTGGAACATGCAGAGAGCAAAATTGACGGCACTGATAAAAGATACAACTTTAGAATCTTTTAAACAAGACTAGAAATGGGATTTGGCGTGTAAGAAAATAACAGAATATATTAAGAAACGTGTTAAAAAGGATGAAATTAGATAAGATGGAACCTTAAAAGGTAACTGTATGTACCGGTAATTTGGGTAATAAATATTGACGTTGGGTGAGCAGGAAGTCACTAGCTTTGTTGAATGGGAATATATAATTTTTGAGTAACAAATATAACTTGTTATATGAAGAAAAAAAGAATACAGTGGTACCTCGGGTTACATATGCCTCAGGTTACATACGCCGCTAACCCAGAAATAGCGCTTCAGGTTAAGAACTTTGCTTCAGGATGAGAACAGAAATCATGCTCCGGCGGCGAGGCAGCAACAGGAGGCCCCATTAGCTAAAGTGGTGTTTCAGGTTAAGAACAGTTTCAGGTTAAGTACGGGCCTCCGGAACGAATTAAGTACTTAACCCGAGGTACCACTGTATTTTTTAAACAACCTCTGATCTGGAGCTTGAAACTGAAGTTGCACCTCCCATCATGGTTTATAATGGAAAATCTCAGGAGTTGTCCAAACGCATAGTGAGCAGAGAAACAAACCACTTTCCAAAATATATAGGGGACTAAAATTTAATTAGTTGCCATGTGCCAAAACTACCAGGTGACATAGACAAAACACCGATCAAAACATAAAACAGAAAATACACCTTTTAATAAAACACAGCGGAGTCCAAGTACCACAGAGCTAGAGAATATAAGAAGCCCTACCTTTAGAGCCACAAAACCCAAACGCCACCAGATAAACTGAGGACAAGGTAGTTAATATTGAAACCATTAACGTAATAAAAGATGTTAAAATGGTTAAAATGCCCAGAAGGAGGCTGCCTGCCTTTTTGGCAATCAATGATTTAGGGGGTTGGATTATATGACCTCTGCGTCACCTTCCTGCTCTAGAATTCTATGCTTCAATGAATCACATTTGGTTCCTTTAAAATGTTCTATATTTTATTGGAGGAAGGAAGAATATAGGATATGGGGGAGGGCCTGCATCATAGCGCACATCCTTTTTAGCCTCCAGTTGGCTAAACAGCAACCATTTCTCCCTCTTACAGGAACAGGGACTCCTTGCCAGCGACTCGCGCTCACTTCCATGTGGAACAACAAGTATTATACAATGAAACCCTCCAGTTGGCATAACGGGGCCTCCCAACCGGCAGCGCCAGCTGAGAAAGTAGAAAACACTTCTCAAGGACGCTTTTGGGCAGAAGCGTTTGCTGGTGCGTTGGACAAAAGCCAGCGTCACTTTGCTTGGAGAGGGGTTTGGGGTGTGGCGCACTTATCGCAAGAGCGCCCTCCGGGAAGCAGGCAGAGACCATTTCCAACCACAGACAATAATTGGCTGCGCAGAGTAAAAAGCACAGGAAACTGAAACCTCCCAAAACTGACGCAGGCAGATGCTTCCGTTGTTTCTGCTGAGAAAAACCAACAAGCTCTTTGGTGATTTGGAAGAAGCCAAGTAGGCCTCATTCCCAGAGGCTGTGTACTCCACAGAATGAGGTTACCTGGCTGGTTTAAGCCAATGGGCTTTGACTGGTGGGAAAGGATCTTCTACTGCAGGGTGTGGGGTAGGACATCCAGTCTGCAGGCCAGATTAAGCCCCCCTCAGTCATCCCTTTTTGGCTCACAGGGCCATTTTGGCCAAGCTAGGTAAAGGTAAAGGGTCCCCTGACCATTAGGTCCAGTCGTGACCGGCTCTGGGGTTGCGGTGCTCATCTCGCTTTACTGGCCGAGGGAGCCAGCATACAGCTTCCGGGTCGTGTGGCCAGCATGACTAAGCCGCTTCTGGCGAACCAGAGCAGCGCACGGAAACGCCGTTTACCTTCCCGCCGGAGTGGTTCCTATTTATCTACTTGCACTTTGACGTGCTTTCAAACTGCTAGGTTGGCAGGAGCTGGGACCGAGCAATGGAAGCTCACTTCATCACAGGGATTCGAACCACCGACCTTCTGATCGGCAAGTCCTAGGCTCAGTGGTTTAACCCACAACGCGACCTGCGTCCCAATGTCCTATATGCGGTGGACCAAAGGGACCTGAACGGGGCACCATACAACACTCAAAGGTTAGCTTTGTTGGGGCTTACCTAGCTCCATACGCAGTGCTGTGCAAGTCTCAAAACAGGTCACCTGGCAACATGTGAAGTCAGGTGACTGACAGGAGGGTGGCCCTGCTCACCTGTAAAAGTTGGCCCGTGGCACGTGGAGAGAGCCAGCTCCTGCTGTCTGCTCTACTGGGCTGTGATCTGATCTAAGGCAAATCACAACAGCAGCAATACAGCTATACAAACATATGGTTAATAAAAACAGAAATAAGGTCCCCAGTGCATGTCCGGGTGCGTCTAGGACGCAAAAACCTGAAGGATACTAGTTCAGGGCAAAGAAAACAGACATAGACTGCTACTTTATCAAGTCTGCCCACATCTCGCTTGAATGGAGAGCAAAGTTGGAAGCTGCTAATGATTTCAATCAGAAGACAAATAAAGCTTTTAGCTGGTTTAATCGATGGGTCTCCCTGACCCCCCCCAGGGATCTTTCAATGCTGCTGCTTCAGGGGATGAAAAAATCAATTGAAGGCAGCTTCTCTTTCCAAGAACGAGCGGCTGCTTTGGTTTCTGAAACACAAAAATCCCTCACACTTCCTTCCACATCTCAGAAGCAAAGTGAACAAAAAAACAAACTCCAGGGGAACAAGACTGAGATTTTGCTGTGGACATTTAAATCTAAACAGACTAACTAAGCAACTCATCAGTCAGAAGGGAGGCAATTCACCAACTGAACCTTCTCGAAACCAGCTTTAAGGGAGAGGCATTTACTTGAAAAGAAGAACCCAGCCAACTGACAACAAAGTTAATCAGAAACCAAAGTTACATTCTGGGTCCCACTTGCCCCTTGGCTCCCTACTGCAGGACTCCAAGTCAATGGCCACCAAAGTCAATTAAACACCAAAGCCCTCCAGTGCTTGGGGGTCCTGGGTGTCTAAAGCTCTACTTCCTCCCGCATGAACCTGGCCTTGGGCAATACACACCTTGACTGTTCTCTGCCCCAAGCAGCAAAATCCCTTGGACCAGGAACATCTTATCAGGAACAGGGTGCTTTGGGTAGCAGCACCATTTATCCTTTTTCATGGTTTCTCCAGGAAGGCTCGCCTGTGACTGAATTTC